TCGGGATTGCTCTGAGGGCAGGAGCAGCTCCAGGAGCAGGCCTGGGCTGGTACCCACAGCTCTGGCTCGCCCCGAGGTGCCACAGCAGCAGGGATGAGGATGAGGATGAGGTGCCAGCCTGGCTCCACAAAGCAGGTGGGACCCCACTCCTGCTTTTCCCTTGGATTTTTTGAAGGGACAGCTCGAGCTGTTGGTTGTTCCCTCACGTGAGGATGGGTCATGGTGCTCACGGTCACCCCCGGGAGGGGATGAGGACAGGGCTGTGTCCCTGCCCATCCCGGGTGGCCCTGCTGACCCCAGCCTGTCCTGAGGCTCGGGAAGCTCAGGGCTGGCCACAACTGCCCTCAGGAAAACCATGGGAGCCTTTCCCGGCCGGCCTCGGAGCACTCGGCTTCCTTCCTTGAGCTTTCAGGGGAAACCTCCGAGGTTCTGGAGAGCCTGGGGGCACAGCCTGGGGACAGTCCAGGGGCACAGCCTGGGGACAGTCCAGGGACACAGCCCTGTGCTTCCTTCTCCCGGGCTGGAAATGGCAGTCAGGGCTGCCTCCCCTCCCTGCTGCTCCCCCAGAGCGATCCGGGGCTGGCACTGGGGTTTGTGTGTTCTCCTGGAAGCCAGAGGCTGCTCCAGCCCGATCTGCAGCCATCCATAATAATCTCGTTTATTGTGGCTCTCCCTGCTCTCCCCCTGCCCGTGCTCGGGGCTGGGCCGGTGCCTGGAGCGCCGTTTGTGTTTGAATGGGTTTGTTTGTGCTCCTGGCACGGCTCCCGGGCTGGCAGGGCCGCCCCGAGGAGCAGGGCTGGGCTGGCCAAGAGTTAACCCCACTGAGCTGGGCTGGGCTGGCACTCACTGGGCTCTGAGTTAACCCCATGGAGCTGGGCTGGCCACTCCTGGGCTCTGAGAATCAACCCCATAACAGGGTTTTATCCCCAGAGTGCCCCAAAAAGCACACAGCCTTTGTGCCAGCTCATTGTGTCCCCCTCCATCGCTGCTCTCCACAGCAGCTCAGGGCAGGCAGGAGTTACTGAGGATAGGCTGAGGGACCGAGGGAGCCTTGCCCAGCTCCAGGAGTTACTGAGGATGGGCTGAGGGACCGAGGGAGCCTTGCCCAGCTCCAGGAGTTACTGAGGATGGGCTGAGGGACCGAGGGAGCCTTGCCCAGCTCCAGGAGTTACTGAGGATGGGCTGAGGGACCGAGGGAGCCTTGCCCAGCTCCAGGAGTTACTGAGGATGGGCTGAGGGACTGAGGGAGCCTTGCCCAGCTCCAGGAGTTGCTGAGGATGGGCTGAGGGACCGAGGGAGCCTTGCCCAGCTCCAGGAGTTGCTGAGGATGGGCTGAGGGAGCCTTGCCCAGCTCCAGGAGTTGCTGAGGATGGGCTGAGGGACCGAGGGAGCCTTGCCCAGGCCCAGGAGTTACTGAGGATGGGCTGAGGGACTGAGGGAGCCTTGCCCAGCTCCAGGAGTTGCTGAGGATGGGCTGAGGGACCGAGGGAGCCTTGCCCAGCTCCAGGAGTTGCTGAGGATGGGCTGAGGGACCGAGGGAGCCTTGCCCAGCTCCAGGAGTTGCTGAGGATGGGCTGAGGGACCGAGGGAGCCTTGCCCAGCTCCAGGAGTTACTGAGGATGGGCTGAGGGACCGAGGGAGCCTTGCCCAGCTCCAGGAGTTACTGAGGATGGGCTGAGGGACCGAGGGAGCCTTGCCCAGCTCCAGGAGTTGCTGAGGATGGGCTGAGGGACCGAGGGAGCCTTGCCCAGCTCCAGGAGCCCCTGGCCCTCCCTGCCTGCCCCTTCCCTGGGCACAGCCTCTCTCTCCTGCAGCTGCTCCTGGCCCAGCCTGTGCCCCAGCCTGGTTTTGTGCCTCTTCAGGCCCAGCCTGTTTATGGAGGTGGCTCTCGCAGCCCTGCTGGGTTTGGTTCGTGGTTGGTGCAGCCCTCAGCTTTAATTTTGTGGTCACGTTAATGTGAAGTTTATCCTCATGGTTTATGGGCATAACCCAGAATTGTGCTGGAGAGGGATCTGTCCTGGAGAGGGATCCCAGCTGGAAAAGGGATCCCTGCTGGAGAGGGATCTGTCCTGGAGAGGGATCCCTGCTGGCACAGAACACTGTCTGCATCCCCCCAAGTGGTTTTTGGGGCCTGCAGCATTCCCAGCTCATTCCCAGCGCAATCTGAGTCCAATTCCCAGTCCAATTCCCAGTCCAATTCCCAGTCCAATTCCCAGTCCAATTCCCAGTGCAATTCCCAGTGCAATTCCCAGTGCATTCCCAGCACAATCCCAGCACAATCTGAGTACAATCCCAGCTCATTTCCAGTGCAATCCCAGTACAATTCCCAGTACAATTCCCAGCACATTCCCAGCACAATCCCAGCTCATTCCCAGGGCATTCCTGCCCATCCTGCAGTGCCCAGCTGCAGTCCTTGGGCACCAGCATTCCTGCAGCGGGGTCACGTGCCAGGACAACAATAGAACTTTATTTTTAGAGCATTTCCCAGCTCCGTGCCCGGCATTCGGCAGGGCTGAGGTCCAGGGAGTTCCTTCCGTCTTCAGGCTGGGGTTTAAGGAGAGGTGATTTTGTGCTGTTCCGTGGTGTTTCTCAGGGCGCTCTGAGGCGCTGCAGGAGCCCAGCGTGGTTTGCAGCGAGGGAGCCGCAGCCACGGCAGCCTGGGACACCCCGGGGCCGGGTGCTCCTGGCTTGGGCGAGCCAGGAGAGACCCAGGTTGCCAAATGCTGGCTGCCAGCCCCAGCTCCCTCTCCAGCACAGCCCCGCGGGACGTGCGGGGGCAGGCCGGGCTGGCAGGGCTGCGGTGGCACAGCCAAGGCCAGCCCGGCTCTGGGTGTGACTGTGCCACCGGGCTGTCCCCACCCACACAGCCCTGTCCCCTGCAGGGCCCGGGGGGAGCAGAGCCCAGGGGCTGCGGGGAGGTGAATTCACAGCCAGCCAGGTGATCCATGTGGGCCAGCAGGGCAGGGATCCCACCCCAAACTCCTGGGGGAGAGACCCCAAATCCTGGGGGAGAAAGCCCCAAATTCCTGGGGGAGACACCCCTGAATTCCTGGGGGAGAAACCCCCAAACTCCTGGGGGAGAAACCCCCAAACTCCTGGGGGAGAAACCCCCAAACTCCTGGGGGAGAAACCCCCAAATCCTGGGGGAGAAGTACCCAAATCCTGGGGGAGAAATCCCCAAATCCTGGGGGAGAAAAACATCCCCCTGTAGCTCCCGCAGAGCCGTCTGTCCGTGCTTTTCCCTTCCAGAGCATGCCAATCCCATCCCAGCAGTGCCAGGTCATGCCAGGGCTGCCGGGAGAGAGCTCCCAGCCCCAATCAGCTCCTGCCTCGGGCTCTTCCCGAGCACAGGATTTATGGAGGGAATTTATCCCGCTAAACGTGACATAAATCTGAGCACACGTGTGCGTCCTGTGCGTGCTGCGCAGCCTGGGGCGGCTGGGTCCTGCTTGGGGAATGGGGGGATCCTCCAGGATCTGCTGGATCCTGCTTGGGGAACAGGGGATCCATTGAATCCTGCTTTGGGAACGGGGGATCCATTGAATCCTGCTTTGGGAACAGGGGAATCCTCCTGGGGCAGCTGGATCCTGCTTTGGGAACAGGGGGATCCATTGAATGCTGCTTTGGGAACGGGGGGATCCATTGAATGCTGCTTTGGGAACAGGGGGATCCCCTGAGTTCTGCTGTCACCTCAAGGCCTGGGCAGGATTTGTCCCTGCTGCTGTCCAGAGCTGCTGCTGTGCCCTGCTCTGGCAGCTCCCGTGTCGCTGCCTGGGTTTCTGGGGCCGTTCCTGGTGTTTGGGTGCCTTTGTTCCCCCTGGGCCGGGCAGGGCTCTGGCTGCCAGCCCGTGCCACTGGTGACAGGGACATTTATCCCCATTGCTGTCGGTGGCAGGGACATTTATCCCCATTGCTGTCGGTGACAGGGACATTTATCCCCATTGCTGTTCGCACAGCCCCCGGAGTCGGGCTCCATAAATCCAGCCCCAAAGCCAGCCCAGCCCCGGGGCTGCCGCCCTGTGGGATCCCAGCTCCTCTCTGCTCAGCCCGCCGTGGCTGTGGGGAGGGATTCCCCTCCTGCGGCACAGAATCACCATTTTCAGCAGCTCATTGATTCCTGCCCGGGGAGCAGGGGCTCCTGCCGCTCTCCCTGCCACATTCCTGGAGCTCTTTCTCACACAGCTCCTAAAAATACCAACCCTGGGGCTGCAGTGCAAACCCTGCTGCTGCCCCAGCCCCTCGCTGCCATCCCAACCCAGCCCAGCTCGGAGCAGGAGGTGCTGGCAGCCCCCGAGGAAGCAGCATTTGCTTTGTCACAGCTCTGTGAAATCCTGCTGTCAAATAGCAGTGGGTGGAGGAGGGAACCGTTGTTTCTGAGTTTGAGACTGGGGGGGAGGGTTTCACTTTATTTACTCTTATTTTTTATTAATGAGAGCAGCTTCACTTGTAGCATAATAGGAGTGAGTGTTTTGTTATCCTTGGCTGTAATCCGTGATAAACTGCCCCTGCCATCAGCCTTGTAGTTTACCCACTGGGGAGCCCGATTATTGCCTTGTAAAACGGAGCACCACTCCTATAATCCCTTAATTAATTAAATGACAAATTTTAGTTCTCTCCCATTGAAAATATAACCGGTGCAGAGAGAGGCCGTGGATTTATTTGATGGCTGCTCGCTCGCACTTTGTTTCCTGTGGATTGCCACTGTCCCTGCTGATTTGTTGGTGCTGGGGGGGATGCCTGGGCTGGCTCTGAGCATCCCCGGGGCTCCCAGGATGTTCCCTGACCCCATGAGCACCGAGGGGGACGAGTGGGGCCGTGCTGGGGGGGCTGTGCTGCTGCCCCCCTTGGGGGGGACACCCCTGGGTGCTGCTGGAGCCCAGGGAAGCCCCACACCCTCCCAGACCCTAAACCCGGGCCAGGGCAATTCCATCCCGGCCCCGCGGGTGCTGTGGGCATTTCTGGGGCTCTTTAAGGATTTCTGTCCCTTCTCTGCTCCCCAGGCTCTGCAGGATGGGTGACGACCGGCCCTTCGTGTGCAGCGCCCCGGGCTGCGGACAGGTACGGCCTTGGGCTCTGCTCTCGTGGCATTTTGGCTGCTCTGGGCTCTGCTCTGATGGGATTTGGGCTGCTTTGGCTTTGGGGTTTAATGGGATTTTGGCTGCTTTGGCTTTGGGGTCTGCTCTGATGGGATTTTGGCAGCTTTGGCTTTGGGGTCTGCTCTGATGGGATTTTGGCTGCTTTGGGGTCAGGGTTTGGTCTCATGGGATTTTGGCTGTTTTGGCTTTGGGGTCTAATGGGGTTTTGGTTTCCCGGGACTGTGGCGGGTTCATCCCCAAGCCAGAGCGCTCTGAGCTGCTGTTCCAGGGGATCCCTGGGGAAAGCAAAGCAGCCCCTGGGGTCTGTGGGGTGCACGCCCTGGCTGGGGGCTCCCAGCAGAGCCCCTGGGACGGGGCTGTTCCTGTGCCCTGGGCTGTGCCCCCGTCCTGCTGCCCGGGGATAAACCCAGAGCCTGCAGGGCCAGGAGGCTCCCGCGTTCCCCTCTGCAGCAGCTGGGAATGTGACAGGTGATGGTCCCCAAAACGCTATTTTGGGATGGGCTTCGTCCCGTGCCTGCGGGAATTCCTCCTCCCTGGGGCCTCTGTGCAGCTTCCCGGGATGGGAGAGGTGGGGGAGGCTCATCCTCCTCCAGCCTCACCTTCCCATCCCCTTCTCCTTCCCTTTCCAGGGAAAACTCTGCTCCCATCCCCTTCTCCTTCCCTTTCTGGGGAAAACTCTGCTCCCATCCCCTTCTCCTTCCCCTTCCAGGGAAAACTCTGCTCCCATCCCCTTTTCCTTCCCATTTCCAGGGAAAACATCCCAAAGCTGAGCTCGGGGGGTCCCTGGCACTTGGTGCTGGGATGAACTGGGGGATGATGGAATTGCTGCTGGGGCTGATGGAGGGGGATCTGCTGGGCACTGGGGGATCGTGGAATTCCTCTTGGTTCAATGGGATCTGCTGGACTCTGGGGGATCATGGAATTCCTGCTGGTTCAATGGGATCTGCTGGGCACTGGGGATTATGGAATCCCTGCTGGTTCAATGGGATCTGCTGGGCACTGGGGACCATGGAATCCCTGCTGGTTCAATGGGATCTGCTGGACTCTGGGGATCATGGAATCCCTGCTGGTTCAATGGGATCTGCTGGACTCTGAGGGGTCATGGAATCCCTGCTGGTTCAATCAATGGGATCTGCTGGGCACTGGGGATCATGGAATCCCTGCTGGTTCAATGGGATCTGCTGGGCACTGGGGAATCATGGAATCCCTGCTGGTTCAATGGGATCTGCTGGACTCTGGGGGATCATGGAATTCCTGCTGGTTCAATGGGATCTGCTGGGCACTGGGGGATCATGGAACTCCTCCTGGTTCAAAACCACATATTCAGGGTTTCCCAGCTTTCTGGTCACTGTGGCAGGAGCCTCGCCCAGATCCTTCCCTGACCCCTTGCAGGTGAACTTCCTCCTTTTGCCTTTTCTTTTTTTTTCTTTTTTTTTTTTTTTTGGAGGCTGCTTTTTATCTGAAACTTCTTTGCCTGTGAAATTGTGCAGGCCATTTATAAAATGTATTAGCTGTGTTTGAGCACTTAATGGTGTGAGCCCTTCAATCACGCAGCCCTAAAATCGGCTTCAAACAAGCAATTAAGGCAAACAACAATGTATTTAAATTTAATCTCCCACAATCTCCCACAAATGACATATAAAGGTGGCTGCTTCCTCCTCTGGCTGTTCCAGCCTGCTGCTTATGGGTAATTCCGACAATTCCTCATGTTAATATGGAAATGCTGGGATCCTGGTAATTCCGAGCGGGGTGATTCATGGGGATCCAGCCTGACCTCGTGCCTGCTTTTCCCAGGACGTCCTTCAGAGCAGGGCAGGGCTGGAATCGGGGATCCAGGGCAGGGACAGCAGGGCTGGGATGGGGGAATGTCCTGGGTGATTCCATGATTTGCCCCAGCCCCTGCTTCCGTCCCTCTGCAGCTGACACCAGCCCCATCTTTAATGCCCTAAACCCCTTTTCCCTCCTTTTCCCTCCCTTTTTCCTCCCTTTTCTTCCTTTTTTTCCTCTCTTTTTTCTCCTTTTTCCCTCCTTTTTTTTTCCCTCCCTTTTTCCTTCCCTATTCCCCCCTTTTTCCTCTCTTTTTCCCTCCTTTTTTCCTCTCTTTTTTACTTCCCTATTCCCCCCCCTTTTTCCTACCTTTTCCTGCCTTTTTTCCTCCTTTTTCCCCTCCCTTTTCCCTCCTTTTTGCCTCCATTTTCTCCTCCTTTTTCTCCTCCTTTTTCCCTCCTTTTTTCCCCTCCTTTTATCTTCGTCTTCCCTCATTTTTTCCCTCCCTTTCCCCCCCCATTTTCCCTCCCTTTTCCCCCCATTTTCCCTCCCTTTTCCCCCCATTTTCCCTCCCTTTCCCCCCCCATTTTCCCTCCCTTTTCCCCCCATTTTCCCTCCCTTTCCCCCCCATTTCCCCCTTTCCCCCCTTTTCCCCCTTTTCCTGTTCCCGTGCAGGAAACGCTCCCCAGGGCAGCAGGGATGTCCGTGCGTGCGCGGGGGCGCAGCGGCTGTAAACACCTTAAGCGTGTTTGGGGTTGCCAGGGCTGCAGGGGGGCTATTTTGGGATTCTCCAGCCCCGGGCCGGGCTGGCACAGCTGCAGAGCCCCGATCCCACCCGGGTCGGGTGTCTGGAGCCTCCCGCAGGGACAGCTGGAGAATGCCCCAGTCCCCGAGCTGGGAATGGGGCAGGGAATGAGCTGGGAATGGGGCAGGGAATGAGCTGGGAATGGGGCAGGGGGAGCTGGGAATGGGGCAGGGAATGGGGCAGGGAATGAGCTGGGAATGGGGCAGGGGGAGCCGGGGCAGCCCCTGCCCCCAGAATGGCCCTGGGAGGCACAGGGGGCGCCTGGAGCCAGGGTTCCCTGGGTGCTGTCACCCCCAAAGCTCTCAGTTCTGGGTGCTGATCACCCCAAAGCTCTCAGTTCCGGGTGCTGTCACCCCAAACCTCTCAATTCCGGGTGCTGATCACCCCAAAGCTCTCAATTCTGGGTGCTGATCACCCCCAAAGCTCTCAGTTCTGGGTGTTTTGTGCTGCTGATCACCCCAGACCTCTCAATTCCAGCCACTCCAGGGGCTGAGAGCTGGGACTGGGGGTGTTCCACCAGCTCCACCTTGTTAATTGGGGAATTAAACCTTCAGGTCTGGGGGACTGGGGAATTAAACCTTCAGGTTTGGGGGAATTGGGGAGTTAAACCTTCAGGTTTGGGAGGAATTTGGGCCCTGCTGTTGGAATCGGGAGCTGTTCCCAAGCTCTGTGCATTGGGACAGCTCCACCTCATTAATTAGGAAATTAAAGCTTCATCTGGCTCATTAAGGCACCCAGAGCACAGCTCTGGGGCCGGGGGGTTCAGCTGCTGCCTCAGGAGGTTTCCCCAGGCCTGGCTCCAGCTCCCCCCTCGGAAAACGGCCCCAAAGGCCCCCAGGGGCCCTGCAGGTGCCACCCTGGGGTGCTCCAGGCTCTCCTGGAGGAGTTTCCCTGTCAATGAACCTGTTTGGCCACTCCTGCTGCCCAGGGCAGCAGCAGGGTGCGGTATTGAATATACTGAGTATATGGAATATACTGAATATATGGGATATATTGGATATACTGAATACATTGAATATACTAAATATACTGAATATACTGAATATGTGGAATATATTGAATATACTGAGTATATGGAATATACTGAACATACGGAATATACTAAATATATCGAATATACTGAATATATTGAATATACTAAATATATAGAATATACAGAATATACTGTATATATGGAATATACTGAACACATTGAATATACAGAATACATTGAATATACTGAGCAGCGAGCACAGCTTCCCGAGCCCTGCCCTCCACAGCATTTCCCTTTGCAGGGCACACAAATCATCCCTCCAGCCCCAGTTGCAGAGCTCCAGTTATCCAGGCCATTTCCTCAGACAATCGTTTGCTTTTTAAACCCCCCTTAATTTACCAATTTATTCCCCCTAAACCCTTGCTCAGAGGTGCTGCTTTGTGCAGTGTCCAGGAAACGCCGAGCCCAGAACTTTTCACGAGGCCAGAAAATGATTTTTTATTTTTTCCCCCCTCTCTCTTCTTGCCGGTTTATTGTATCCTCTTATCTTGTCATATAATAGAAATAATGTTTATGGCGTCGAGCCTCAGCATCACTTGGCATTTAACCAAGCTCAAAAGCAGTTTATTGCTTTGTATACTCTGCTGCCATGGCCATTATCCCTTAAATCTCTATTGCCCAGTAATGGATGGGGCCCGGGCTGCTGCTGCCATTGGCTGGGCTGGGTTTGGGGCTGCACAGCCCAGACCGTGAGGGTTGTTCCCTTTGGGGTCAGAGAGGGGAGAACAGCCCAGACCGTGAGGGTTGTTCCCTTTGGGGTCAGAGAGGGGAGAACAGCCCAGACCGTGAGGGTTGTTCCCTTTGGGGTCAGAGAGAGGGGGACAAGGGCCACACAGCCCAAACCGTGAGGGTTGTTCCCTTTATGGGGTCGGAGAGAGGGGAGAAGAGCCCAGACCGTGAGGGTTGTTCCCTTTGTGGGAGAACAGCCCAGACCGTGAGGGTTGTTCCCTTTGTGGGGTCTGAGAGGGGAGAAGAGCCCAGACCGTGAGGGTTGTTCCCTTTATTCACCCCTGCATTGTGGGGTCTGAGAGGGGGAGAGTGGCCCTTTCCCCTTGCCAGGCCATGAGGAGCTCACCCTGGCACTGCTGTGGGGTGGCACCAGCCCCCGGCCTTGGCTGCTCCGGGGTGTCCAGTGTGGGGTTTGCAGTGCGGGGTTTGCAGTGCGGGGTTTGCAGTGCGGGGTTCCCAGTGTGGGGTGTCCAGTGTGGGGTTTGCAGTGTGGGATTCCCAGTGTGCGATTCCCAATGTGGAGTTTCCAGTGTGGAGTTTCCAGTGTGGGATTCCCAGTTTGGGGTTCCCAGTTTGGTGTTTCCAGTTTGGGGTTTGCAGTGTGGGATACCCAGTGTGCGATTTCCAG